ATCTCCTCACATCTTCACACTCCACACATCTCCCTACTCCACACATCTCCCCACTCCACACATCTCCCCGCACCACACATCTCCCCACTCCACACATCTCCCTACTCCACACATCTCCCCACTCCACACATCTCCCCACTCCACACGCCTCACATCTCCTCACTGCACACATCTCCTCACTCCACACAACTCACTCCACACATCTTCATACTCCACACATCTCCTCACTCCACATGTCTACACACATCTCCTCACTCCACACGTCACCCCACTCCACACATCTCGTCACTCCACACATCTCCTCACATCTCCTCACTCCACACATCCCCTCACTCCACACATCTCCTCACTTTCCTCACTCCACACATCTCCTCACATTCCTCACTCCACACATCTCCTCACTCCGCACATCACCTCACTCCACACACTTAACTGCACACATGTCCCCACTGCACACATGTCCCCACTCTACACATCTCCTCACTCCACACAGCTCACTCCACGCATCTCCTCATCCTCACATTCCTCACTCCACACATCTCCTCACTCCACACATCACCTCACTCCACACACTTAACTGCACACATGTCCCCACTGCACACATGTCCCCACTCTACACATCTCCTCACTCCACACAGCTCACTCCACGCATCTCCTCATTAAACACATATCCACATATCTCCTCACCCCACACATACCCACACATCTCCTCACCCCACACATATCCACACATCTCCTCACCCCACACATCTCACTCCACACATCTCACTCCACACATCACCTTACTCTACACATCACCTCATTCCACACATCTCCTCTCTCCACACATCTCACTCCACACATCTCCTCACTCCACACAGTTAACTCCACACATGTTCCCAGTGCACACATGTCCCCATTCTACACATCTCCTCACTCCACACAGCTCACTCCACGCATCTCCTCACTCCACACATCTCACTCCACACATCTCCTCACTCCACACATATCCACACATCTCCCCACTCCACACATCCCCCCACTCCACACATCTCCTCACTCTACACATCTCCTCACTCCACACAGCTCACTCCACGCATCTCCTCACTCCACACATCTCACTCCACACATCTCCTCACTCCACACATATCCACACATCTCCCCACTCCACACATCCCCCCACTCCACACATCTCCTCACTCCACACATCTCCACACTCCACGCATCTCCTCACTCCACACATCACCGCACTCCACACATCTCACTCCACACATCTCCTCACATCTCCTCACTCCACAGGTCACCCCACTCCACACATCTCGTCACTCCACACATCTCGTCACTCCACACATCTCCTCAC